TTTCAAGCGAAAAGAAGGAACTGAAAAGTCGGGGGAAATCGTTTTGATATCTTTTATTAAAACATTTATTAGTGAGGAAGTACTTTGCGTTTTGTAAAAATTATTTTCACTGGAAAATATTAATTGATAGGCAAATGGTGTCGAGTTGTTAATAACATTTTAAAGAAGATATGTCGATAAGTGTTATCTTGTAATATTTTGTAATTTATTTATAATATTTTTAAAGAAATTATTCATTTCGGCTTGATAAAGACGAGATAATAAAAGTAAATGAAATATCATTAATGATTTATTTTTGCGATTATGGGCAATTTTATGTAAATTAGAATATATATATATATATATATATATATATATATATATATATATATATATATATATATATATATATATATATATATATATATATATATATATATATATATATATATATATATATATATATATATATATATATATATATATATATATATATATATATATATATATATATATATATATATATATATATATATATATATATATATATATATATATATATATATATATATATATATATATATATATATATATATATATATATATATATATATATATATATATATATATATATATATATATATATATATATATATATATATATATATATATATATATATATATATATATATATATATATATATATATATATATATATATATATATATATATATATATATATATATATATATATATATATATATATATATATATATATATATATATATATATATATATATATATATATATATATATATATATATATATATATATATATATATATATATATATATATATATATATATATATATATATATATATATATATATATATATATATATATATATATATATATATATATATATATATATATATATATATATATATATATATATATATATATATATATATATATATATATATATATATATATATATATATATATATATATATATATATATATATATATATATATATATATATATATATATATATATATATATATATATATATATATATATATATATATATATATATATATATATATATATATATATATATATATATATATATATATATATATATATATATATATATATATATATATATATATATATATATATATATATATATATATATATATATATATATATATATATATATATATATATATATATATATATATATATATATATATATATATATATATATATATATATATATATATATATATATATATATATATATATATATATATATATATATATATATATATATATATATATATATATATATATATATATATATATATATATATATATATATATATATATATATATATATATATATATATATATATATATATATATATATATATATATATATATATATATATATATATATATATATATATATATATATATATATATATATATATATATATATATATATATATATATATATATATATATATATATATATATATATATATATATATATATATATATATATATATATATATATATATATATATATATATATATATATATATATATATATATATATATATATATATATATATATATATATATATATATATATATATATATATATATATATATATATATATATATATATATATATATATATATATATATATATATATATATATATATATATATATATATATATATATATATATATATATATATATATATATATATATATATATATATATATATATATATATATATATATATATATATATATATATATATATATATATATATATATATATATATATATATATATATATATATATATATATATATATATATATATATATATATATATATATATATATATATATATATATATATATATATATATATATATATATATATATATATATATATATATATATATATATATATATATATATATATATATATATATATATATATATATATATATATATATATATATATATATATATATATATATATATATATATATATATATATATATATATATATATATATATATATATATATATATATATATATATATATATATATATATATATATATATATATATATATATATATATATATATATATATATATATATATATATATATATATATATATATATATATATATATATATATATATATATATATATATATATATATATATATATATATATATATATATATATATATATATATATATATATATATATATATATATATATATATATATATATANTATATATATATATATATATATATATATATATATATACAGAGAGAGAGATTTATATGTTTGCATTCTTCCTAGGTTTTAATCTTTTAATCCTTTCTTATCCTTTTTATCAAAATAAGAATCAAAAATAATTGTAGTAAAAATGTATAGATTTGATTTGATATTCTTTTACTGTGACATATGGAAGTCGCAGTAATATTGAAATCAAGAAATTATCCACTAAGTTAATCTCTGTTTCTTACTAAGTACTTTAAATAAGAATAATAAGGTAAGTTTTTGATAAAGGAAACAATGATTAAAGAACAAATATAAAAGCTGGCAAAAAATACTAAGTGTGAAAAAGAAATTTAGAGTACTTAATGATTTAACAGAAATGAAAAAAAATCATAAATTATTTATGAATCATGTCTATGTTATTTATGAATCATATAATTATATCCTTTCCCCCACCATGTTACAAATTGTAATTTTTATTTGAGCAAATAATTTTCACTTAAAAATTATTTTTTTAAATTCATTTATTTTATTATAAGTTTCTTATAATATATTTTAAATATAATTTAATATGTATACTTTAATATAGTTTAAATTGATATATTTATTTTGAATTCATTTAATATTACAGATATTTTAGCGTAGGAATGCTTAATTTTTTGTACTTTTTGTAAATTTTGATTCAGTAGCGTTAAAATTTTTGTTTCATTTATTTATACATTACTTTTATTTATTTATATTACATTATTATTTAATGATTTGAGACGTGTGATTTTGCGTTTGACATATCGGCTTCAATATTATCCCTTAGATATCTTATTTTTAATGTTGGTTTTTAATACACTTTTGTGTGTGATCAACCTGAAAAATAAAAAGACACGGACAGGCTGTGCAAGTCCTTCAGCAGTTCAACAGTTAACTCCGACTTATTTTTTGTACAAGATTATATAGAAATAAAAGAATACTAGTGTCCAAGATTTATTTTTTCCTTCTTTTAGTGGAATTTTTATTGCTTTAGACTTGTTTTTTTATTTAAATTAATCAACCAGCAATTTAAATAGATAGATATTTTCAAAATAATTGATGAAAAGTGATAATTATAGTTAAAAATTAAAAATTTCTCCAATTGAATGACATTTTGAGACGAATTTTAGTAAAAAAAAATAATATTAAAAGTAAAGAAATTTTTTTAAATTACAAGAATTTAGTGTAAAAGACCATATCAACTGATGATTTTTATACTCGATATCTTATTAGCTAGTCACTGTACCTTTAAATTATTTACGATATCTTTAGCTCATTAAATCAGATGGAAAATTAGATTTTCCATGTCTGTAATCAAAGAATCACAAAGGGAACATGACCTCTCTAACCAAAATATTTTCCACTTAGAAATTAATAAATAAAAAAATAACTATATAGTTTTCTATTACAAACAAATTCAAAACAAAATTAAATGAAACATTTCAAGCCTAATCTGATCTATAATTTTATTTATATGAGTTCATCATATTTATATTGGATTGATAAAAGTTAAATAATTCTTATTGAACGTTTCGTTTCGATTTTACAATTAAATAAAAACTATTCTAATAAAATTGCTCAATTATTCCTTTCAAATCATGTGTAAAATATTTTTTTTAAAACAAAGTGACGTTTCCCGTTATTATGTAACTAGAAAAAATCATAAGGTTGTCTCAGCTTATTTATGTAAATCGAATATTCCGCAATGAAAAAATCTGGCAATTAAAAAACCATGATTTTTATAATTTTTAATATAACCTCGAAAAACTTATGATTTAGAGCGAATTCATATAAGAGCGAACTCATTTTCTCTTTCATAATTTGTATGAAATATTACTTAGTTTTTGACTTTTATTTATTTTAAAGCAATATGCATGTACAGAATTCTTGATTGTCTATAACAAAACTAAGATGAGTTTAACATTTATTTTTATTTATAGCTTAGCTTTCTAATTGAAGTAGAAAAGTGTTTACATTGATTATGCTTCAATAATTAGTAAACTATTGTTTAGGAACATTTCAATTTTCAGAAATTAATTAACTGATCAGTTATACACATTTTAAATTCCTGGATAAATTTTATTGTTGTGCTTCACAAAAAATACTAGGTTTTTTCATAGTTATTTATAAAACCTTAGTAGTATTATTGTACAATCGAATATATATAAAAAAAAAATAATTGAAAGGGTGAAAAAGTATCGATTTACAACAAACAATTGAGAACAATAAATCAAAAATTAAGTTTTTTTTCCCTTTCGTTTTGAAGAGAAAGACAAAACAAAATGCTTCTCTTCTGAGAAGAAAAACCTCCACCCTGCTTCTCGGCCACGAAGCCAAGAATCATACCCGCTCTCAGAAAAAAATCGCCTAACAAGAGAGAGCAGGTCCTGAAACAACGATGGTTTGTAAAATTGCGTCCGGAAGGGTAGACGAACTACCGAAGACGACTAGTCGAAGATAAACATTTATAACCAGAGTCACGCCAAAAGATATTACTCTAGTAATGGAAATACCCATTTATTCTTTACCCTATAATTCAATACTTTACAGTGAACAAACGATTGATTCAATAATTGATTCATTTTTAGGAAAGCTATCTTTAACTTAGATTTTTAATGCATAGATGTCTGTTATTACATATTCATCATATTTATTTTCGTCATATTTATTTTTCAGGTTCAGGATGTTTCAGATGGATATAGTGAATTGGTCACCCTGATGGGAATAAAAGCACCCTTTTTGGTTTTTATTTTTTGTAGCATTCCAATAGGCGTTGTTCGAGCTGGCATACCACCATTTCAATTAACCCAAGCTACGTCAAGACCCAAGCGCCCAGAAAATCTGACTCCTGATGAAAAAGTAAAGATTTTATTTGAGCGTGGTAATCCTGTTGCTGCTGTGCTACAATTTATTGAAAATATTTATTACTCGCATCAAAATGGTTCCTGTCGTAAAACATCTTTGGCAGATTTCTCCAGTAATGGGTTTGAATGGCATTTACCTTCAAAATTCACAAACACTTTTGAAAAACAGATGAAATCAGCTGTCAAAACTGCCAACATCCTCAACCATTATTTTCTTAAGGCCCCTAATGACACAGAGGTAACTGTTATCATTGCTTTCTAAAATCATTAATTTTTTAATGAGAAATATCGGTTAATGATGTTTAACACAGAGGTTAGCTTTAGAATGCTCTGGAAAGCTAATATACCAATCACCCAATTACTCTGCAAACTCAATATATGGGTGATTCTCACGAAACGTGATAGTTCGGACCAAAAAATTTCTTCAAATTTAAAGTCTTCAAAATAATCTAAAATTTGTTTTGTATACTTCTTTAGCTACACTTATTAATATCTTATAGACAGCAGTGTAGTTTATTGACATTTTCTCGAGAAAAAAAATTGAATGACAGGAAAATGACATATTACCTTAGAAATTTAAAAAACAGTCATTTTAAATTAATAGTAAGTAACTCAACTTAAGCCTTTATGTTAGATGGACCATAAATTGCTTAAATTAATTCATTTTATCCACTGTAGAAAGAAACAAAAAAATTTTTGTTGCTGATATGTGCAGAATAAAATTGTGTATAATAATCAATCATTAAATAAATAAATAACTTTGATTACATCCAAGCATATTACAATCATACATAAACTTGGTATTAGGTTAATATGATATTTGCTTTCCCTCTTTACAGTATTAGAAGTTAAAAAGAATTTCTGGTAACACTTCAATGTCCTGGCATTCATAAGCCAGGAAAATGACAGTCAGTATAATGACAAATTCGCCATTATATAGCATATAACTTTACTTTAATTTAATATTTTGGCCGAAGACGTTTATATTCTGCAAAAAACAACAGTATTTCTTAAAATAACTCAGATAAATCTATGTAGTTTTTTTATTAATGATTTCAAGAAGCCAGGAAAATGACCGCATAAAAACCTACTCACCTTGAAAAATTTTTTGAAATAGATTTTGAGCCAGAAAATTGGTTCTTTATTCATGCAACAAGACATGTTCAGATAGGAGGGTATCTAATCAATCTATTAACATAAGATATTGATTCCTGGCGCTATCTATTTTGGTTATAAATCACTAAATAAAAGTAGCCAGGAAAATGACAGATTTTCATGGGACAAACAAATTATTGACAGAAAAAAATTATTTTAAACGAAGTTTTAGTAAACAATACCCTCTGCGTATATTCTAGAAATGCTTACATAGGATAGATTTCGAAAAATGTATGGGAAGTTTTGAAGCTAGTTATTATTGGAAATATTGTTTGGGACATGACATTTTGATGTTCAATTAAATTTTTTAAGTTTACAAAACAGTCAATGCTAGTCAATGCAAAGTCATTTTAAAATGCTAACTGCAATGGTATTTATTAATTTTTTTTTTAAAAAGTTCTTTTAGTATTATAGTATTAGATCTTGGAGCAAGGGACAGTGAATATCATGTTTCGTGAGAATCACCCATATATCAAGCATTTACACTAATCTATCAATTTTTTTCTAACCGTATAATTTAAAATAATTCATCATAAGTTATTAAAATAATTTAATTAATTATTATAATTTATAACATAAATAAATCATTAAATTTAAAATAAAGGATAAATGAGAATATTTTTTAGTTAAATTGTTGTATTTCCAGAAAAAGTGAGCTGTAAAAAAGGGTTTCTCAAGATTGAACAAAAATGTTACAAAATATCTCCAAGACAAATAATAGTCGAATTTGAAATTGACACGAAGATTGAAACAGCATATAATCATTTTTGAGCAAAGAGCGTAGTCTTGAAAATGCTGTGAAGGGAGAAATGTGTGAGAGGAATGTTCGTTGACTACTGGCAGGATTCAAATCAAGAACCTTCGGGTTTTTAAAGCAGGATGCTCTGATCACCGTAGTTGTATAGTGCGCAAAAAATAAATGCACTATGAATAACTTTTGATCCCATGATCGTATCTTCATGTTCTTTGACTCAATCTTAAGGGTTCGATGGAGTGACTTCAAATATGCTAATTCATTAGTGCAGACGATTTTTCAAATTACGAAATCAGGCATAAAAACTTATTTTCGCTGAATAAACATGCTTTTTTCGACGAATTTGGATTTCTGACCCCCAAGATATAGGAGGTAGCCACAATCTGGGAAATATGAGTACAATAGTTTGGCGTGGATAGCGGTCTAAAATTTGAACCATTGAATGTTAATTTTATTTTTTGTGTATTTATCATATCTCGAGAACTTTTTAAGCGACTTGAAGCATTTCTGCAAACAATTATAAAATTTGTTTCTCCAAAGACAATTCCATGCAAAAAATAATTTTTAGTAAATATTCATTAGTTTTATTATTTTATTTAATTATAATCTAGAAATTTTGAATTGTAGGGTATAATTAATATTTAAACAAGGGAAAACTATAACATTTCCAAAATTTTTTTGAATCACAACTGAGAAAGCTGTGACTAAAAACATTGAAAGCTGTTTGATTGCCGGAGCAAATGGAAAAAAGTTGCAAAGCTATTATTAAGAACATCCTATTGGGCCATCAGGCTATCAGACTGGTGTAGAGGATTTTTATTCCGCTTTCCTCATTAGTGATTTGATAGATATTCATATCATTTCTATTTTTTTCTCGCTTAAATATTAATTTGCGATCTCTATTATTCATACTTTTTATTTAAAGAAGTCTAAAAACTATATTTATAAAGAGCGATAATTACGGAACATCCTAAATAGACTATATTTATTGGTATTCTACTAGAATAAAAGATATATAAACTCAGCTTCACATAGCAGAAATGACTTGTCATGAAAAAAAGATTATAAAGTTTTAGAAAATTATTAATTCATTATAATTATTGCAAAGGATTTAACTTCTCACAACAAATAAATAAATAAAACATATAAAAGAAATACGTTTTTCACTAAATGTGGCGTATTTTTGAAAGAGGAATAAGTCCGGGCTCTTAAGGGTTAGTATTTCAATGAATTTAAAAATGTTTATAAGGGTCAATAAATTTGGTGGTGTTTTTTAGCCATACTTTGATGAAATATGAAAATGCAACAATGATTATTAAAATCGTAAACATAAATAAAAAAGTAAACGACTTATTCTACTCTAAAAAATAACAGCTCAAATATCCTTATATATTTTTTAATGTTAAAAAATTTTTCTTTTCATAACTAAAAATAAAATTATATATTTCAATTATTCTTGCATAAAAGTGCAATAGCTAAAGGAGAAAAATGAGTCCTCTAGAATGGTATTAAAATTCATATAGGATAAAAAAAAATCGAGTCTCGTTTTCTTTTTTACAGAGTGCATACGTAATTTTTAATGTTCGACATGTGGAACTATTTAAAATTTTTTTAAAATATTATGATGACAAATATAATATATGAAATATATTTAAAATTTAAAGTTTTAATAATTAGATGTTTCAAATTAAAAATAAGGCGCTTAATAAGTTTAACATGAACACAGGATATAAATTATTAATTATATTCAAGTGAAGTTTATGAACCGCGATGCTTCTAATGTGATTTTTCTACTAGATGCATAAAACCTTAATGCGTTTGAGTTAAAAGTACTTTTTACTTACTGCGTTTTCTTTAATACGCATTTTTTAAAGTTTGTAGTTCACTCTGATGTTACGAAAGCTTTTCAAATTAGATACACTAATCTTTTTAAGAGCTTTTCAAACAACAAATAAGAGATGGGTATAGCATTCTGGCTTAAAAATGTTTTATAGTTTTTATAGGACTAAAAGCAGTTTGCTACGTAATGCTTTCATTTATGCTGCAGTGCTGCAGTTATTGCTAAGATCTCTCACCTTGAAATGAAAATACGCAACTGAAAATCCCAAATCATTAAATTTTTAAGCATTGTCATTGTTTTTCGTTTTTATTTTGAAATGTCAGCTATTTTATTTCAATAAGCTAATTTATATAAACACTTTAAATCAAAATTTAGTTAAGGACCTATGCTTGACTGTTCCCTGTTGAATTTCACAGTCTTAACCAATTAATGCTGATTCTTTAATTTAAGAGACAACTGAAAATTTACAGAATAAGCTCACGGGAATTATTTTTTTCGAGTTAAGTATTACGACTATCTACAAGTTTCATGAGTTTGATTGATAATGAAGTCCTTTTTTTATTCAAGTCCGACTTAAAAAACGACTCAGTGTTAGGAATGTTTATTATGTCTATTATTTACTAATTATTAGGAATGACTATTATTTGCTAATCAATTTCTTAAAGTTAAAAAAATAGAAAATACAATAATTATAAAAATACTTTAAATGGGAGATCGCGTAACATTTTAGATTTCACTGTGTGTCTCTAAATTTAATAATTTAGTTTTCAGACCGAATATTTTTAGTTGTTTTTCAAATGATTTTACAACATTTAGTATTAATGTACAAAATATTATTGAAATATTGGAACTTGCGAAATTATGTTACTAGCAAAATAAATAAGATACTTTTTTTTCTATTTAAAGCTCCTTTTTCAAAATAATAATAATAATAATAATAATAATAATGATAATAATACTTATGAAAGATTTGAGGCAAATAAAAATTTCAATTCAATCTCGAACTTTAATTAAATCTAAAACGATTATTCCAGAGTACTTTTCGTTTTCAAGCCATTAAAATAAACTCAGATAATTTTTTTTCGCCTTTTTATGAACACTTATTTAAAAGCATAAATGCAGCGTACTTAATGTCCGTTTAAGTTCTAATTCCGTAATTTTGATAAATAGGGATTATAAACTTTTATGTGTATCTATAATTTCATACACCTAAATGATGTAATTATTCCAGATTTCATGAATATTGGTTTAAAATTACCGTTTTGCATCTCAAGAGGTTTAGTTTCATAGTCCACTGTTTAGCTTAATCCTCTATAATAACAATCATTATACTAGTATATCGTTAGCTATCGTAATATTATCCAACTTTGATCATTAAGCGAAAAACTATACTTTACTATAGCTTGTTCGAGAGTTTTATATTTCCTTGCTTTATGTCTGGCCTTAACCTCCTCTCTTATTAAAATTTTGAAAATCCATTGTTCATTTGTAGCTTGTCATTTTGCGGAACCTGAGAACAATAAGTTCTTAGCTAAACACGCGGAAAACAGGTCATTGATTTATGAAGGCGGACAAACCAGGATTTCTAATTACTTAAATAATAAATTATAGTTTTGCATTTTAGATTTATAATTAGTAATTAAATTCAATTATTGTTTTATATCAATAAAATATTTTTGGGTTGTATATTGAAGCTATATTCTTATTTATATTTCTAAATTAAGAGTACAAATAAAAGCTTAATATGAAAATCAATCATTAAAATTTATAAACCTTAAAATAAAGTTCTCATTGAGTTTAGCAGTAAAGCGAATTTTAAACATTTAAATAATTAGACAACCAAAACTTCTTATTCATATTTCATTTTAGATTCTCGTTAATAATGTATTTTGACCAACTGCATATTTTTATCGTATAACATGGTGAAAAAAATTCTAGTAAAATTACTATAATGTATGGTAAGGACATTTCTGTTTTAAAAAAACATCATTCTGGTCAATAAAATCAAAATATATAGTATTTAAATTATTTATTTGGTAATTTTTCCGTTTATATGGTAATGGTTTACTTGAAATTCTGATTTTCAAAATGATAGTTCTCCTTACTTCACGTTTAGTAAAAAATGGAAATCTTAAAAGTAAATTTAACCGAATTAATGGTTTTTATGCGTGCTTTCGGTTAATGGTTCCCAGTTTTTTTGGTCTGAGAAGCGCTAAAATTACGACATTCTTTCAACGGTACCTCGAATTTATGAAAAATATAATAATAACCAAACATTATAATTAAACTTAAATAATAAACAAAGTTACAACTAACTCTCTTGATTGAACTAGCAATCATTTTGAAAAGAGTTAATTTAAAAAAAAAAACTCTTGCCGCTTTATTAATAGTAGTTTAGAAATCAAATTTTTCGCCAGATAATTGAACTTGCAAGGTGGCATGTAGTTTAGTTCTGAATTAGTTTTTAGTATGTGCTTAAATTGAAAATGAATAGAACAAACTATTATGGTTTTTGCTAAAATGAAAACGAAAAAGTTTAACAAATGTTATGAGTGGATATTCGGAAAACACATTTCTTTTTTGTTAAATTATTTATTTTATTTTGGAATTGGAAAGTTCCATGAGATATGAGATATACTAACGCAACATATTATGCATGCATGTTCCTTTCATAGTTCATTCAAAGTACTGTTACTTTATATACATATATATATATATACATATATATATATATACATATATATAT